GGAAGGATTGCCATGTTTCCCCCAGTATCCAGGAAACTAAAAGCAAAATCCCTACAGACAGGGGTTGGTGCAATCCGACAGCAGATGGGAAACCCGTGTTTTGATCCCTCCCTTCCTAGAGAGGACTAAGGCTGGCTGAGTAATTACAAAAATTCTAAGAAAATAAGCAAAAAAAAAAAAAAAGTAAAATAAAATATACAAACATTCTTAAGAGTTTTAAAATGATGCTCATCAAAAATATATTTCTATTTGCATGTAAACATCCCCCTGCCGTGCTCACGGCGTGTGCCAGCACACACCACCCAGGAGCAGAGCAGGAGGGGGCTGTGCATCATCACCCACCCGAGGAGCACACACAGCACGGAGGGTGAGGGGCATCTCAGGAGAAATGGCTTTGAAGATCATTTTTCACAGATGGGATCCCTTGAAGTGCAGGCGTCCTCATCAGGCAAAATGGCAAGTGGCTCGGCATCTTTTTAGGGCATAAAATATTTAGAGTCAGCTTGGAGAAAACACTGACAACAGACAACCAAACACCACATTCCTGCTCAGCAGCACGAAATCCTGACCCCTCCCCGCCGGGTAGAGCAGCACCATCTGCCCCCTCCCAGCTCGTGCATCCCAGGGGGCTGGGATACACTCTGGACACGGCCTTTCCCAAGGAACACGACTGCAGCCACCCAGGGAGCAAAGCCACGAGCCACCATCTCGCAGCTGAGGTCCAGGAGCTGCTCAGCCCAACCCCTCAGCCAGCTTTCCAGTCTCCAGAGCCCGTCCCACAACTCTCCTCTCCCAGGATCCCTGTGGAGCTGCTGCAGGAGCAGCCAGGCCAGGCTCAGGCTGGATGCCCAGGGCTCCCCAGCCCTGCCCAGGGAATATACAGACAGGGCTGTATATACAGACAGAGCCCAGCTGCTGAGCTGAGCCCTGGATCCCTCTCCCAGGGCATGGAAGGACGCAGGTGGGGCTCTGTCTCGACATTCACAGCAGACTGAGCTCCTCAGCAGTGCCTGCACCAGCAGACACTCCTCACACTCCCCTGCCATCCCTGCTCCCGTTGCCGTTGGCACATCCATGGCACGGGAACAGAGCTCCCACAGCTGCTTGGCTGAGCAGCTCTGGCCAGTCTGGCACAGAGAGGAGCAGGGACTGCTTGTCCAACGCTGCCATGGAGAGCCACTCCTGGCTCAGTTCCTGTTGCTTCCACCCCAAACAAGCAGAACATTCCCCAAGAGCCAGAATCTGTCATTCCCTGACTTTGTCCCCAGACTCTGCACCATTCCACTGCTCCTTCTCCCTGCTCACCCGTGCCACAGGCCAGCTGACACGGCCCACCTGCCATGGAGCATTTGCTGGGCTCATTTCCTGACACGTTTCCTCCAGCACAGTCTCAGCTGGATTCAAATCCTCCCCCTTGACCAGTTACTCAAAGTCCTCCATGATTCACAGCTCTGCCTCACCACTGCTAGAATACTAATGAGGGAAATGTTGATTTATCGAAGCCCTGATATGTCACCGCTGGATTAAACAGTCTATAAAGTATATTTGGACACATTACAGGATTAGAAGAATCCACCTGGGAAGTTTGCTTCCTCCTTCCTCCACTCTCTGGCAAAGAGACTTGTTTTCAAGGACACACAGACTCAGCAGTGGTGGCTGAGTGGGCATCACTGAGACCCAGCACACCACAGGGAGACCCCCACCACCTCTCCAGAGAAAACCCCCACCTCTTAGTAGTGGTACACCTTAATTTGCCTGTTTTCATCCATTCCCAGCTGGAGGAGGCTGGGGCTGGTGCTGCTGGCCGGGGGCATCTGTGCACGTGGGGAGAGAGGTCTGGCAGTCGGGTGAAGGAAAAGCCTGGCTTAGAGCAGGAATTAGCACACCTGAGCACAGCCAGACAGGGCAGGTACTGAGGTACGGAGCCAGCCTTGTGCACACATGCTGTATTTAGCCTGCTGCATCCCAGTCAAATGGAATTAAAGGGGGATTAGGGAATTCAGAGGTGCACCAGGCTCAGGACAGCACAGAGGCCCCAGGGATTTGCTGCTTACAGTGAACACTGGAAGAGACACCAACATACCACACAGCCTGGAAACATCCCTGCTAACAGCACAGAGAGGTCTTGCCCTCTGGATCCAACCTCATGCTGCAAGATGCCTTGAAATGGGAGAAGAGCTCCAGGAGGAGCCCAGCCCTTGTGGCCACCCCATGTGCCAGGTCAACATGTCTCCAGGTGCCCTCACTTCATCCTGGGCTGCTCAGCAGGGCCTGCCCATGGCAGACCCCCTTCTTCCCTGCCACCTCCTCCACTCTGCACTGTTTGGTACACATTTTTTAAATTCTCACGTTACCAGCTCTAACTGCTCTTTTATGGCAGAGCAGCATCCCTAAAGAGCATCACAACCAGGGAAAGGAAGGGAGGAGAATTCCTCAGTCACTAAAGAGCATCACAAGCAGGGAAAGGAAGGGAGGAGAATTCCTCAGTCACTAAAGAGCATCGAGCATCACAAGCAGGGAAAGGAAGGGAGGAGAATTCCTCAGTCATGTACAGCTCAAGGAGCAGCAAACAGGTTGCTCATGCTCTAACTGTTGAGCACCACATTCCCTTGCAGAACCAGACACTAAAGTAAAAACTGCTTTTCAATGCTTCGGTGCTCCCAGTTCACTCACCTCCTCCTGCCTGTTGCAGGGAGCAGGAACACAATTAAAGGCCAGACCCAGGTAAAGGATACGCTTTTGAGTCCTTCCTGAAGCTTTTCAGCCATTTCTTGTTGCTCTCGATCATCCCTTCGACGCTCATCTTCCCCGGCTCACGGAACCTGGAATGCTGCAGCTGCCGGATTTGTTCACTGTGGCACATGAGAGAGAGTGAGAGGGTGGCTGGGAAAGAGAGGTCTGGGCAGAACAGATGAGAAAGTGATGGGCTGTTATAGAAGGAGCCGCCGTTACCAAAAAGCCACCTCCTCACCTGAGCACGTGGCAGTGAACAGCTAATGTGATAACTTATTAATATTATTTTTAATATGTAATTTGTTATTGTTATTTTTAATATGTTAACACGTTGTTACCAACACGTAATTTACAATTTGTTATCTGCTTGCTATGTATGTGACCCAATAATCACCCCAGAGAAATGACAGCAGCACAGTGCAACATCTCAAGGAAGAAGACCCTTACTCTGCAGGTATGTATCCCAGCTTGTTGTCCAGAGGCTTGGGATTCCCACTGAGTGATGAGATCCCATCTGGAAAACAGACATTAAATACAGACTCACCAAAATCAACATTCCTTATCACTCTTTATCCCATTAGCACCCTTCCTATCAGCAGCTCCAGTGCATCTGCCCTTCCAGCATTGGAAGGGTGAGACAGCCAGAACTTGCAGGGCTGAGAAATCAAAAGCTGAAGGCAAGGAAGAAGAACGGATTAAGGACAGGAGACTCACCTGGGAAATACCTGTGCCATTTCTCTGCCAGGATGTTGTCCACTGACCGCCCTGAGATGGAGACACCAGCGCTCAGCCCACTGTTCCAGGCCCACCTGTCAGTGGAAGGCACCCTGGAAATATCCCCCAGGGAGCTGCCTGCCTGCAGGCCTGCCAAGGAGGAATATGTGGACAGAGGGATGCCATCACGGGCTGTCGAGGCGAAGAGAGGAGTGTGGTGATGGCTCAGGGAGTCCAGGACACCCAGGACCCCGTTCAGCTCACTGGTGATACACTGCAGAGAGTCCCTCAAGTGCTGGATCTTGTCCAGCTGGGGGACAGGCCACAAATTCGTCCTCAAATCAACTGAAGAAAGAGAAGAGAAAAAAGGGGTCGCAGGCAAGTGCTAACAAGAGCAGCCTTTGTGCAAGCAACCCAACCCTCCTGCCCCTCCTCCCCTGCACAACTCCAGCTACAGGCAACTGAAGGCCAACAAAAAGCACATGCAGCAGAGAGGGAATTGCAGCAGCCTCTCCTGCCTTGGATGTGAGGAAGGGGAAACCCAGACTCCTGCAGAAGAGCAATACAGCTCTGCAGCAGCAGAGGGAAGAGCTGCAACCAGATTTTACAATGCACAGAGATTTCAAGGGCAAGTTCGTGCACAGTCTCCATCCCTCTTATCTGCCACTACAGGCAGGAAACAAGTTTTTCCAATCAAGTTTCATGCACAGAGCAGTCCCAACCATGGGGACCAGACCTGCCTTAGACACCACTGAGCACAAGTGAGAACATCATCAGAGAGGTGCAAGGCAAAGCCAGAATAGGTCTAGAGCCTCACAGGTTGGGCACAGCACACCGAGCCAGTCAGGCACTTACATTTAGGCTGACACAGTTCTCCAATGGATGCACTCTCTGTGTCCTCAGAGTCACTCAGATCAAAAGTCACCACCTTCTTGCAGGCAGCACTCTTCAGTGTATCCTCATCTGAGAGCTGCTCAGGAGGAAAACAAAGCAACAAAACCTGCTGTATCATCCCTGAAACATAACAGCTGCTGGAAATCTGCCTACAGCTTGTCTACTCAGTCAGGCACAGGTCAAGTGAAGGCAAACTCGTCTTCAGTCCCTGACAGCAAAATCTGAGTATCAAGAGACTGCTTAGGCTCTGGAAGTGAGAGGCCAAATCCAACAGCCATGTGAACTGGCCCTTCTAGACAGGAGGCAACGTGTTTTGGGCTTTAAATAACCCTCAGAACTCTTGCAGGGCTGGGTTCCCTCTTTGCACCATCCAAAGTCTGTGCTCTTGCATCTGTTGCTGCCCTGCCCAAGGCCACGTGGTCCCAGGCAGAGCCAAAGACATTCCAAGGCTTGCCTTGGTCAGGAGAGCAGACTCCATCCCAGACCTTGTTTTCTCCAGGCTCTTTTCCAGGCTGCTCTCTAGAGCCACACACTCAACAGTCTCTTGTGATCTCACAGAATGTGTTTCAAAATCCAGCTCTGCTGGCAAACTCCAGTCTCTGGCCACCAGCTAAAGGGCCCTCACAGGGACCACCAGGCCCTCAGAGCCTCCAGCCTGGGGGAGGAGGCCAAGAGCTCTGGGCAGGGGGAATGCAGCTGGGAAGACCCTGGGAGTGATGCTGGTGTTACCTCCTCCAGCAGTGAAGACTCCAGCTGGCTGAGCTTCTCCTCCTTCTTCTGCAGCAGCACCTGCCCTTTCTGCATGGCCGACTTCATCTTGTCCAAGTGCTTTGCCTCCTGCAGGGGATCAACAGCCAGGCAAGGAGGGAAATTAAACCAGAATGACAGGAAACGATCTATGTTAGCAGTCAGGGTGACTTTCATTATCTCAATCTGCTCAGTACAGGAAATGGTGCTGCTGGAGTGAAACTGCCCCCAAGTCCTCGACAGCTCGGGAAGTGGTGTGGACAGCGAGCAGAGCACATGGCTCAAAGCCCAAGGAAAGGAAGGTTTTACTTCCAAACCCCACTTCCAACAGGGTCAGCACACCTGCAGAGCCAGGAATTGATCCCAGGGCTGTGGGATTGTTTGTGCAGCACAGTGTCCACTCCCTGTGAACGAGCTCAGGGCTCACCTCCTCCAGGTTCTGGCGCATGCCCTCCAGGAGCTGGGAGCTGTGGGGATCCTGCAGTGCCTCCTGTGCCCTCTGCAGGTCCTGGCGCCACTGCACCCTCGCAGCCTTCAGCGCCGAGTGCCTCCTCCTCATGGAGCGGGTCTGGTGCCGCAGGAACTCCTTGGCACTCCGGAGGGAGGCCCCTTCTGCAGAGATGTAGCTCCGGACACTAGAGCAGAGAGGCAGGGCAGGAGTCCCGGCTGCCTGTGCCCTCCTGCACGCCTCACACAGCACCTCCCAAAAACCAGATTGTCAGTGCACCGTGTGTAAATCCAAGCCAGAGCATTTGCTTGGAAAACCAGAGCGAAAAGAAAGGCTTTCTGGCACGTGGATACTCACGGGTCACACTGGAAGTCGCTTTCCTCGTGGCTCTGAGAGGCTGAAGAAGCAAGTTCTCTGGATGAGGGCTGAGGAGGTAAAGCATTTCAGAAATTAAGAAACGTGTATGGGAAACAGAACCCCAGGGCTCCTGTAAGAATTCCATTAGGAGCAAAAACTTGGAATGACATCACCATGGTACTGCCTAGATCCAAAAACAGTGCCTGGGATGTTCTTCATGTGATTTTTGAAGGAGAGACAGACATTTCTATTCCAACTCAAGCCCTGCTTTTGACTCCAGTATCCCACACTCCTCTCCACCCACTAATAACAGATAGAAATCAGCAAATACTACTGAACACAGTGGCAAAGAGAAATGCATCCCCTCAAATGATTTCACACAGAAGGAACAGAAGTTGGGATTTTCAAGAGAGTTACAGCCTCAGATCTCACAAAGCAAACACCTTCAGAGTCTGCTTTACTCACAGCTTGAGTACTTTCTCTCAGGTCTTCAATACGGAGCTCAGCTTGCTTTCTTGGAGACTCCACACTCTCTTCTGCCTCCAGTTCTTTCAGAGTCTCCTGCCTGCTCCTGACTGCTTCCTCCAGCTCACTGCCACAGGAAAGGAAACAGTGGAGGCACCTGATTAGCCTGCAGTCCATCCTGGCTGCAGTGGTGTCCAGATTCCAGGAGGGAAAGGGCCACAGGTGTGTAAGACAGCACCAGTGTTGGTTCTGTGCCAATCATAACCCCTGGCTGGGCAGGGAAACTGCTTCCCACCCTTCCCCAGCAGCTCAGCCACCTCAGGAAAGTCTCTGCATTTCAGTGCTCCTCTCACAGCACCTCACTAACCACACGAGGCAGGTGTGGAGGAGACAAACAAACCTGAGGAGCAGAGGTAAAGGAGCAAATTCCCACCCTGAGCTACTGATAGGGAGGGAAACTGCTCCTACCCACCCGATGCGCTTCTGCAGCCTCTGGCTCCGGGTCTGCAGCAGGTCCACCTGGGCCTCCAGCTCAGCCTTCTGGTCCTGCAGCTCTTCCAGAGACTTCCTCAGCTGCCGGACGGACTCGAGGAGGCTGCCATGCTCCTTCCTGCTCTCCTCCAGGCGCAGCTGAGAGGCCAAAGCAGCTTCCTAGAAGAAAACAAAAAAAATCCCTCATGGTCATTTCCCCAGAACCAAAATAAGAGGCACACACAGCACACGAGGGCTCGCTGCCTGCACGGCTCACAGGGGTCCAGAGCTGCACACACACCCCCCCCAGTCCTGGAAAAGCAGGACTGTCTCTTCTCTTTGGGAAACAGCTCAGAGTTAATCCACCTCCCAGCAGGATGGCACTCCAGACTGGGGCAGGGAGGGATTTTCAGCCTCACAGTTTAGAAGCAATGGTTTCTCTTCTTTTTAAAGCCACACTTCCAGCGTGGTGCCCTCAGCCCCAGCAGCAGCAGAGCCCCTGTCCAGAGCTCAGGCATACATACATCCCTTTCCAGCTGCGTCCTCCTGTCCTCATCCAGCAGCTGCTGCCTTTTCCTTCGCAGGTCCTCCTCCTGGGCACAGGTGAGAGAGCAGGTGAGTGTCAGAGCCAGGAGACTGAGCACCACCTCAAGGACAGACATCAGGCCCAAGTTTCAAAATCCCCAAGGACTGTCAGATTTGCTTCATGATCCCTCTGCCCCCTCACAGTCACTCACTGTCCCCCAAAGCACTGAGCAAACCCACAGCTCAGGCTTTCACTGCAAACACCAGCCCTGAGGCTGCACCACCAGGAATGCTTAGCCCTGCTCTGACCTGTGATGGAAGTTGTACCTGCAACTGGGACAGCAGCAGAAGCCCTGGCTGAGCATTTCTGACCAGTTCCCCATGAGGAAGCAGTCAAAGGATTGGCACAGCTAAGGGAACCCCTGTGAGCCCACCAGGCCGACTCACCTGGCTGAGGAGCTGCTCTGATCTGGCTTGGAGGCTCTTTGCACGTATTTCAAGCTCATTCTCCGCATCCTGGATTTTTCTTTCCTGCACAGAGACACTGACTTAAAGAGAGAATGGTACAAATTCCTCCCTCACCTGGCAGAGCTCTGCCACAGGGGGGACAACACAGGCTGGGAAGCACGACCTGTTACTCGTGTCAGTGCCCCTGGGCTGTGGAGGGTGGCAGGGGCACGAGGTGTGGGGTAGGTACCCTGGGCACCCCCAAGCAGCCAGGTCACAGGGAGCAGAGAGGTGCCCCTCACCTTCTCCCTGTGCCTGTGCTTCAGGTCAGTGAGCCTCCCCTCCAGCTCCTCCTGCAGAGCCTTCACCTCGGCGTTGTGGGACTGCCAGAGCTGCAGGGTCTCGCTCTGCACCCTCTGCAGCAGCTCCGACCTCCGCCTCCGCTCCTGAGTGGGGAGAGGAAAAGCCCTCAGTGCAGCACAGGGCTCTCCACAAGTGAACAGACACACGGGACACTGTCTGGAGAGCGGTACCTCCTCCTCAAACTGCTCCTTAATCCGGGCTAAGGCCTCCCGGTGCTCCTGTCTCATCCTCTCCATCCTCCTCTCGTGGTCTCTCTCCACCTCGTGCCGTTTCTCACTCATGAGCTCGCTGAGCTGTGGGGATAAAAGGGAAGATGTTCCCTTTGAACGACAGCACTGCATGACAGGGAACCCCCAAGAATCAACCTCCCACACGAGTCCAGGGATTGAAATCCAGAGTGTGATCAGGTTGTGGTCTGGGGAGCACAAAGGCTTCACCCCAGTGAGGTGAGATATCCTCTCCCCTAAGGCCCCACTGTCACCCCTGGGCAGGGGACGTGGGCTCTCAGACCTCACCACACCCCTGGGGAGAGAAGGTGGGTGAACACTCACCTCCCGCTCGTATTCCTTCACTTGGAAGGCTTTTTGCTGCACTTTCTGACCCGCTCTCTGCAAGTCTTCACGCAGCTGAGCCTCCTGGCTGCTCTGTGCCTCTGCTAGCTGGGTTTGCAGGCTGGAAATGACCTGCCATGAAAGCCACCCACAGAGACTCGTCACCCTTCCGACAGGCTCCATTCAGTGCCCTCCTACAGGGAGCCAGCAGCACGGCAGAGCCCTGCCTGCAGTCTCACCACCCCCTGCCTGGAGCATGGCCAAATGCTGAGCCAGACCAGAACCACGGCGAGGAAGTGGAAAAAAAATTAATGCCGCCCTCCCTGGCCACCTTTGGTGACAGTGTGTGAGGAAAAACCCAACAATTTACATACTAAGGACCAAGGACACTTTACCTCACGATGCTTCTCTTCTGCTGCAGACTTCAGTTGCTGGAGTTCACCTGCAAACTGTTTCTCCAGCTCCTCTACTGCCTGTGGAAACACGAGCAAAACAGTCTGGGGACATGATGGATTTGCAATTAAATTCTATCCATAAGCATCAAAAAGAACAATGGTAACTCCCTTCCAAACTGGATCACGTACAAGGTGCCTTTACTCTCTCTGTGCTTTCCCCCTCCCAGGGGTTTCGATGGATCTCAATCATGCTGTGCTCAAAAACTAGAAACTGCCCCATTCAAGGACTCCCCATGTCCCTGGAGGACTAAAGCTGTACCCAAAGTGGTGTTTGGAGCTGATAAAGTGGTTTCATTTAGTTCTGATCTGATAACAGAGCTTGGTTTAGCTTAGCAAGACACACAACTATCCTGCTCTTGTCTTCAAATTCAACGTGGCTATTTAAATAATTGTTAGTTAATCACCATTGTAATAACAATTGGGGGAGTTCTCCCCTCCTCAGTGTGCCCCTAACAGCCCACTTGGCACCTTCCCTTTGTGCTTTAAGTGCATCATAAACACACAGGTGTGATTTAAATCCCAGCGTTTCAGCATTGCAATGCCAGCCAGGTCAGCAGGAACAGCTCGGGGCTGACCCTGATTTGTAACAAAGATCTCACCTTCTTCTTCTCCCTGTCTAACCTCTCCCTGACCTCGCTCAGGAACTGTTCCTTCTCTCGTTCCAGCTCCCTGATCTCCTTCTGCTGGGCTTCCTCCATTTCCAGCTTCATTTCCTCCAAGGCAAGCTGCTGCTTCCTCTCCAGGCTCTCCTTCTCCTTCAGCTGCTGGGATTCCCACTCTTCCCTTAGTTTCTGCAGCGTGGCCTCCTGCTCTGCCCTGGTAGGTTTGTAACAAGGACACAGAAGTCAGGATTCAGTCCTGCCCAGTCAGGGCTCAGACCTGCTGCCACAGCAGGGAAACAGTTCTGAACCTCCACTCTGAGCAGCTGCTGGTGGCGTGCAAGATCCTTCCCTCCCAGCCCAGCACGGTTTGCATCCCCGGGGATGGCAGCACAACTTCTCACCTCATCCTCTCCTCCTCTGCCTCGGTCTCTGAGGCGATCTTGGCTCTCAGCTTCGCCAGTCTCTCAGCTTCTTCCTCTCTGACACGCAGCTCTTCCTCCTCAGAAACCTTTGCCAAGTCTTCCTCTGGAGTCCTGGGAGATGAGCAGCCAGAAAGAAAAAGAAAAAAGGTTCAGGGGGTTTTAAAACCTTCCAACCACCTCCCCAAGGGCTATAGCTCAGCTGCTGCTCCCACTTGGCTGTACCTGCCCAAATTATGCTCTCTCAGGGTTCCAGATCTTTCATTTCCCCCACACCTGCAGGACCTGCTGCTGGCACAGGAGATGCAGCCCCAGCATCACACCTGAGCAGTGTGGTTTTAAAACACACCATATCATCACAGGCTGCACTTAGTTTGGGGATTTTTTTGCAGGTAAATGAAATCAACTCTCATTAAATGGATGCAGGCTCCCAGGCAAGGTACCTGGATGCATTAGTACATCTGGAAGCTCCATATTTCCACATGACACCTTTTACTACATGTTTTCCCCTTCAGGTGCGTTTTCTGCATCTTCCTTCACACCCAGACTGCATCCCCAGGACATCTCATGTCAAGATGCTGTTTCTGGCTGCTCAGCGTGCTAAGAACATGAGTATCAAGTCCACCAAAATAATATACAAGCCTCAAGAGAAAAATTCCCCCAGGGAAAGGACACAGCTCCCAGTGTTGCTCTCAGATCCTGGGTTTCACACAGCCATCCCTTCTGCCCTATTCCTGGAAGCCTTGTTTGGAAGTCCCTCTGTAAAACATGCAGCATCAGAGCTCCAGATAGACCCTCTGGGGTAACCTCATCTCCTCTAACGCTCCCATTTCCAGTCCTGTTACGACCATTTAGCCCAGGATTTGAACATCTGCCAGGTGGCAAAGCTCCAAGCACTGAACTGGAAACTTCTCCCAGGTTAAACATAAGAGACAAGTTCCAAAGGCTGCGTGTGCATGGAATCAGAGCTCATCTCACAGGAGGTGGCAGGATGCTCTCCTGTCAGTGTTGGAGAGCTCTTTCCTGAGGCTGCCTGTGCTCTGACAGCAGGGCACTGTCCCTCCCAAGGTGTGCAGATCCTCATGCACAGAACTGTCCGAGGCCCACATTCCTCCTCCTCCCTGAGAGCCTGGATCTTGCTCCTTTCCCACACCTCTGGGAAGCAGCACCACTTCCAAGGTGGTGGCTACCACAGCACAGGTCTGTGACCAGCAGCAATGAAATCCCAGCTTGGAAAGGCTCAGGGGAGGTGGAGTAAAAAAGGCAAGTACCTGAGGGATTTTTCTTTTTGCTGATCAAGCTTCTCTGCTTCCTCCTCCTGCCTTGTCTCCTCCTGGAATTGCTGAATTTTCTCCTCCTTTGCTTGAAATAAATGAATTTCCTCTTGCTCAAGCTCTGTCTCCACATTCTTGGCTATTTCCTCCAGGGATTCTTCTCTAGGCTGGTTCAAGGACTGCTGGTGCTTGATTTCCTCCTCAGGTTGCCTACCAAAGAGAAAGGTCCTTTGGCAAAAGGGCGACAGAAAACGAAGTAACACAAAAGGAACAGCAACATCCCCCCCAAAGAGTATCAAAAAAAACCCCCAAAAATCTCAGAACCCCCTAGTCCAGAAGCCTCACTCAGGCCCACCAGTGGTGCATCATCAGCTCTGACTGATAAATGACACCCAGCCCCAGCAGCACTCCTGAACAACTCGGATTTTGGCCCACCAGAGCTCACCTTGTGAGGGCAATACTAGATCATGAAGGATCTAGTAGCTACAAAGCCCTGGCCAGGCTGGCAGGCACAGGAGCAGATGCCACCAGCACCTGCTTCCAGCCCAGGGATTGGTGTTTCTGATGGACAAGGTATTTCTCTGCAACTGCAACCTGAAGTGTGCTGGGAGTTTGCCAACTCCAGGCAACAGAAAGCCCCCAGCACTCCAAAAATTCAAACCCAGTCTGGTTCTAATTAAGTTTTTTTTTTTCAGACAGACAGCAGCAAAATTATAAGGTCTGAGAGAGGCTGAAGGGGAAGGAGGGGAAAACTGAGATTAGTGTATGAAGAAAAATTTTCATTCTTTGCTAGTGCAAGCTGGAGCAGGAAGGTCTCACTGTGCTGTGAGACTGCCAGCATAAGGCAGAGTGACTTCTGTTCTGCCAGGAATCAGGGAAGTAACAGCCCCAGTTATAGAGCCTCGAGTCAGAAGAGAAAAGGTCACTTCTGCAGCCATTAGCAAAAAGAACAAGACAGGAAGGTAGTGGGGTTCTGCAAAAATCCTGCTTCACTGGTGCTCCCCATAATGCCACCTGCAGCAGGTGTCCTTTATCAGGCTGCTCTGCAGAGCAATTCAGCCACTTCCACCTTTTCATCATGTTCTTCCCTTTGCCCCAGTTCCTGCTCCAAAGGAGACCCAGCACACACGGGTTTGCACAGCACCACAATTCCCAGCAGAACAGGGGAGACACTGCACAGGCCTCCACAGCACAGATCCTTCTCCCCCACCTTGTCCCAGGAGACGCTGCCTAATTTTTCCAGTTGCATCTGCTGATGTGTCATCTGACACAGAATGCAAAGTCAGCACAATCACAGGGACTGAGCTCCTCTGTCACAGAGGAGCTGCAGCTACGGATCCACAAATACCACCAGAATTGCAGCAACAGAAGGGTGGCTTGGGCAGGAGCTCTGTTTCATTATTTCAGTGCTGTTCCTAGTGGCTGTAAAATTGGGGTGACTGGTTGGGTTTTTGCTGTTCCCCCCATCTCAGCACCACTCAAAGCCTTTCTCAGGCAGGGTGGCACTCGCGGCCTCGCCAGCGACACCGGCACGGAGGAGGCTCTCCCAAAGACAGGGCACACGGCTCCTTCTCACCCCAGAGTCCTGAGCCACAGACCCCCAGGGCTGAGCTGCTGTTCTGGCCCTCCCCAGCACAGACTGCTCACCTGGCACCCCCACAGCAGCACAGCTGCTGGGATGTGCACACGGAGCTGCGCCGCGCCCACCAAACCGCAGCTCCCGTTCACACGCGAGCCCAGCCAGCACAGAGGGGGACAAAAGGACACAAGCTGTCACAATCACGACACCAGCGACTGAAAGGAAGCCCTTACGTGTCCCGTGGGGCAGACAGCTCCTCTGGATCCATCGGGCTGCCCAGAGATCCCTCCTCCCGCTCCAGGGCCGCCGCCTCCTCCCCATCGGGGTTCTCTAAACCCAAACACTCCTCTGGTGTTTCACAAGCACCGAGATCCCTCTCGCTTTTGCAGCACAAAAAGAGGGGACAGAAGGCCACGTTAGCTCAGCTCAGTCTAGTGGTTGCTGCAGGTGGACAAGGCAGGGGATGACAGGACACACAGGTGACAGAGGTGGCACCAAGCCACGGCTGCCAACAGGACACAAACACCCAACACGGGGCTGCCAAAGCCACAGGGAAGCTCCACACCATTCCCACCACCTCATATCAGACTAACAGGCAGCTGAGGATGTAACAGGTGCCGGTCTCAAAATGCTGGATGCCTTCCCTGGGTTATCCCCCCCCTTTCCAGGTTCTTGGAGAATGTCCCCAAGGTACATCAGCCCTATCAGCAACACTCACACTGCTGTCCAAATTGCAGATGGAAGTGTTGGCAGGCATGTTTGTATCTACAGTCCTGCTTCATCTTGGAAGTACAGAAAGGAGAGACAAGGCAAGCACAAGCAGCTTTACAGGCAGAGAGGAGAGGATGCTCAGCTGGCAAGCAGGTATCAAGTGATAAAGAGAATTCCTGCAGGCAGAACACGTTTTTGGGGACCCTCACACAAACAGCTTCTCCAAGAACAAGGCTGCAAATCCCATGTCACTCAGCCAATCATTAAGATGGGCTGCAGTTTCTTCTGCTCACAAGTTTTCCTGGCACAGGCAACAGCTCCTTGGTTCCCAGAGCCCTGGAGAACATGTAACTCTGTGTGGAGGCCAAGAGCTTTGACACAGCTCATCTGTAAATGCCACACTGCAGCTCTCCAAGGAGGAGGGGCTCGAGGGAGCAGGGAGCTCACTGCTTAGCACAGTTTTAAACAAATCACCACAAACAGGCTGAAAACAGCTCTGCTAGACAGCCTAGTCCTCATGGTAACGGAGGGTCGGGAAGTCAGCATTCCTCTTGGGGCAACAGCTGGTGAGCTGTCCACATACCAGGATATAAAACAGCTTAATGCTTACACCTGGTCCAGGTCACCTCTGTGGTGGCCTAGAGAGAAGAGAACTGTTCACATCAGAGCTGGACTCTCCTGGCACCACAAAAAGGTGCCAGGCTGGCCCTGAGAGCCCTCAGGTACAGGTTCTGCCCAGGGGGGAGCTGGCAGCCCAGCAGGACCAGTGCTGAAACAAGGGGCTGACTCAGAACCAGAACAGTCATCTGGCAACAGCCAACGACCACATCCTCCCTGGTTCAACACCACAGGGCCCAGCACAGCGTGAACAGGTTCAGACCCTCCTGGCAAGAGCGTGACTTTTGGACCTTTCTAGAGCAGTCAGGGAGCTGTAAGGGAGACAGAGGAGCTGTAAGGGAGACAGAGGAGCTGTAAGGGAGACAGAGGAGCTGTAAGGGAGACAGAGGAGCTGTAAGGGAGACAGAGGAGCTGTAAGGGAGACAGAAGGCAGAGCCACAGCTGGAGCAGCCACCAGGAAATGATGGACAGGCAGTTTCACTGCTCACCCAGCCAGAAGTGGTGCTGAGAGAGTGCTGAGGGGGTGGCAGGAGAAGGGAGAGGTTTAGTGGGAAAGACCCTGTGAGAAGCTGCAGCACCTCAGGGTGTTGTACAGGGGGCTCCTGTTCAGGTCACAGTGAGCAGAGCAGGGAGGACAAGGCAGGAAGGGCACCAGGAGCCAGAGCTGCCCATGCCTCCTGAGTTGCTCTGTTTGAACCATACCTCTCAGGAGCTTTTGTTCTTTTGCTTTGCTCTTCCTCTGTACTGGCTTTGCTTTGGTCTTTTTCCTCTTCTCCCAGCTCCTGGGCCTGCAGGTAAAAGCAAACAGGGTGGAGTTTGTGGCTCCTTCACCATTAAAGACCTTACAGGGGGTTCTGCTGAAGGTCCATGGAATCAGCACTGAGCCCAGGGACCACACAGATCCACAGGCTGTTCCAGAATGTTGGATGTGCCAACCTCCTCTCCTGGGGGTAAGCAAGGGGCTCCAAACATCACAGGAATGCCCTGCAGGAATGCTTCCAGAAGCACAAGAAGCCTGGGAGCTCAGCTGTCTCAGTACAGAAGATGAACTCCCTGCCAGCACTAAGTACTTGGGACACAGGTTTGGCTTTTACCTGAAGGTCATTTCACATTCCCAAGTAACTCTAAACTTCCTGAAAAATGTAGGACGAAAATCTCCTACAAGAGAAATGTCACACACAAACTAACGTGGTGGGGCCATAAAACAAATTGATGTGTTGGCTGGGACCAGAATCCCATCAGGGCTCAGTCCTGCCTCCCATCCTGGTTCTAGGGCAGCTTGTGCTGGGCAGCACACACACACACACACAGAGTCACCAATCCAGGGATTTCTGCCTCTAGGACACATCAGGGTGGGCGCTGCCCCCTGAGCAGCACCCTGAGCATTCAGTTGGCTTATTTATGACACAGGAAATACTGGGAATATGAATAGCCAACATTTGAATGTGAAATAGTATCACCTGCTCCTTTCCCCACCTGCCAGCTCCCAGATCCCTCTGTCCCCACAGCACAAGGGGAGGGAAAGGACTTCCCTCCTCACCTGCCAGCTCTACAGGAGGCAGCGAGGGCTCACCCTCCCTGCTGAGAGTTTGGGTCCCCAAAAACACATCCCATTCATAAATTCTTGGTGACCACGGACCCAGTAGGTGAGCCCAGCCCCTCCTGTGCGTGGAGCAGGGCCAAAACAACACAGAATTAAAACAGCAGTAATTTATGCAAATGTTCAGTGGAGCAAACAGCAGAAGGATTCCCTGCAAGTGCTGTCACCTTCCATCACATCAGCCTGGGCAGAGCTCTGCAGCAGCCCCCCACCCCCAGCCCCCCTCCTGCCCCTGTAACTAATGACTCCAATTCCCGGGAACGAGGAGCTCAGCAAATGTTTCCTCGCTCAAAATGGGCTCTGTCACTGCTGCCTGGGAACGGGAAGGAGCCAGACAAATGGAGAAGGATAACAGTCACAGGGCACCTCTGCTGAGCCCAGGCATGGGCCTTCTGCTGCCCCTCTACCCCACAGGACAGTCCCTCCCCAGGAATCATGGGCTGCAGGAATCTCTGGACACATTTGGAAGGTGAAGACAGCACTTGTCTGCAGGAAATGAGGGCAGATTTTAAGCCCTGTCTGTGGAATTGTCAGATCCTTGCCCCTCCTGCCCCAGCTGCATCCCCAGAGGACACCTCACACGCTCAAGACACAAAATCAGTTGTGTGAACAACAGGAATGACAGACCCTGGGCCATCTCTTCCCTCTGCACAGCACAGATCCCAAGGGACTCAGCAGGAGCATCTCACATCAGCTCGGATCATGCCTGCATCCCACTCCTCACCCCCGGCCCCCTGGGCACAGCAAGGTGCCAGCACTGAGCACTTCAGACACAGCTTTGCCTTTGTCCTGAAGTTTGGGCACTGCCCAGGCTCCCCAGGGCAGTGGGCACAACCCCAAGGCTGCCAGAGCTCAGGGAGTGTTTGGACAACGCTCTCAGGCACAGGGTGGGATTGCTGGGCTGTCCTGTTCAGGGCCAGGGGTTGGACTTGGTGTGATCCCTGTGGGTCCCTGCCAACCCAGGATATTCTACATTCCATGATCTGCATCTTGCACTTTCAGTCTCTGGTAGGGGAAGGGTGGAAGGAGCAGCCTTCCCTCTGCCAGCAGGGCAGCCAGGTCCAGCAGGACACATCCCACAGAGCCTCTGCAGCCACCACAGCTCCTGCCACACACCAACCAAACCCCTCCCATTCCGTGCTCGTGGAGCTTCCAGAGGTGTCGTTTTTTAACAACAGAACATTTTGCCAGTACATTCAAAGCAAGGCAGGCTCCTTACACATGGAAGCAGGCACATTCCTACAACCAGAGTCATTCCAGCCGAGCCTCTGTGTACAGACACAAAAGAGCAGCTGCAGTTCTGCAGGGAGCACCATTTCACACCCAGCCCTCCCCAAACAGGGCTGTAATAAACTCCAACGTGGCTGCTCCAGCAAGCATTTGCATGCACAGTGCCTGCACTGCAGGGAGGGAGAGGGGGAACACAGCAGGCATATGTTTTGTTTTCCCTTCACATCTGATTATGCTCATTATTAGGCACAAGAGGACAGGTGTATCCTCCAGACACAACCTCACAAACCGGATTGCTCCTCTCTGCTGGACAGGTGGGGAGTTTGCCACTCAGGGTCTCCTCCAGAGCAGCTGATCACTCACAATCAGCACAAGGCTGAGTAACCCCAGCTGGATCCTGCCCTCCACGGCGCTCCCAGCCAGCCGGGATGGAGCGGGAGAGCTCCAGAGCAACGTGGGGCTCAGGAAGCCAACTTGGCAACGTGCTGGGAAGACAAGGGTAAACCCGAGATGCACAGCAACCTCCAGTCAGAACTGCCCAGCCACTGCTGCATCCCAGGCTAACACGGCATAGGAGCACAGGCATATGCTCACACAGTGCCACAGACTCCCCGAAAGGAGCCCATTTTCCCTCCACATGAAAGCAGGCAAGACAAACCAAATGCTTAAAAATAAGCTTCCCTCTACCAAAATCTGTCAGAGGGAGTTAACCTCCTTTTCTTCCCATTGATTCTATCGTGTTTCTGCTACACAAATCCTTCCTATCTGCTTAAGTGAAAGAAAAGGGTGAATATAGCCACAAAAGAAGAAAGTAAAATAGACTCTACTTCCATCTTTCCCCAGGAAAGCCATTTATTGACACTCACTGGGGCAGGGAAAGCACACAGGGGAGCCTGCACGTGTGCACCCCTGAAGCCATCCCCTACTCAAGGTTTATGTTCTTTATGTAGCTTCGTGTACCTCATCTCTGCAGCAAAAACAGTGCCCTGGTAGTGCTGCTCTGATCCCTGATACCTCACTGTTCACCTCTGCAGAGCCTTCACACTGACAGCATCACACTGGTGGTGCATCTCACCCCAGTATTTCACCTGCCTGTTCACAGATCACCCCTGATCACACACACAGAGCTCACCTTGCACACAGGGCTGCCTAAGACAGGAGCTTCCAGTACTTCCTCAGGAAGCTGGTTCTGGAAGCCCAACACCTAAAGAAGAAAGCAGAAAAGGATCAGTGTCTGATGAGAACACACAGGGTTTGCCAGAGATCCTGAGACCAAAATCCTGCCGTGGCTTGGAATCCCCACCCACTGACAGCAGCTCAGCAGCAGTTCCCTTCACTGGGTCCCTAAGGAAACCCTCCCTGTGGGGTCCAGGGACATCAATGCCACACAGAGAGGACACTGTGGGACTGAGAGCTCTGCCACACTCCCAGTGCACCCTTCCACTTTGGCCACAGCAGGCAGGGGTGACACGTGGTACATCCAAAGGGCACACGTCTTCCCCCAGCCTCCGCTGCTCCCCTTTATGATACTATTCATTTCCTCTCATTTTTTCCTAAAAGTCAGCTCCCACAGGCTGTTCATCTTCCAAGACAATCCTCCCTCCTGGCAGAGTCTGTGGGGGTCCTTGCACTTGGCTGCACAGGGCAGTGTGTGCACACACGTGCCCGTGGGCAAGCACTGCACAAGGCAGAGCCACTTGCCAACACAGGCTTGTACCAACCCCGATAAATAATATTCTCAGCCATTTGCTGGCCATGCTGCCTCTGCTCCCACTGGCAGATGGCAATGGCAGCTTCCTGTGGAGATGAAGAGATGCTGATGGGCATCTCCCCCCATCTCAGGGCTTCTCTCCTGCCTGCCCTCCCACAGGCACCCTCCAGAGCCAGGTCTCCCAGCCACACACACCCCCCTAAGCAAAAGCTGCCGAGTCCCTTAAAGCACAATTTTTACCCTGCTTATTATTTTCCTTTTTGCAATTATCTGAGCACAGTCCCAGCTCTACGTGACCTACTTTTCCAGGGATTCTGCCTCACCCACAGCCCCAATCTGCGAGGGACAGGGTGACACTGCTGGCCTGTGCCACAGCTGTGAGGGCACTGCAAGAGGCAGGCACAGCACTCCCTGGCTGCACCATCCCAGAGGAACCTGAAGCCCCACGCCCAAGGGACAGGGAGTTTTGGTGACTCACCAGAGGCTGAGCCAGCTCCCTGTTGGAGCCATTGGAGACATGCAGGTCCTCCCCACTGATCTCCGACGCCTTTGAAAGCTGAGAGGAGAATGCACGTTACAGCCTGTACATGTCTTACCCCTGCAGCTTCACCTGGGCACTCCCAACACCACAACTGGCACTGGGAACACAAATCTGTCCCCTCTGTAACACGGGAAACACGAGGTGACTGAACCAGACACTAAGGGTACGATCCACAAGACAAGCACAAAACACCACAGGTAGGGGCAGGAGATGGGACTGGGGAGGGCAGAGAAGTGCTCTTCAAACACCCCTGATAAAAGGCACTTGCTTCCCTCTTCATCTGCAAGGATGTCTGCGGCTCTTAGAGCTCCCAGCCCACCACCAGAACAGTACCAGGGTCTCTTAAAAGCACTTTAAAAGCTCATCTTGCTGTGCCTAAGTGCAGTGAGGGCTGCTACGTTCTCACCATCATGAAGCCACTGTTCAATGGGAACACCCCGTGGCCCTGTTGACTTCAGCAGGACAACTCAGGTGCAGAAGCACCCAGGGAAGGGTTTGGAAAAGCAATGCTTTCAGCTCTAAGCTCTTCAGGACAGAGCATGTTTTTCCAGGCTCGGCTTTGTGGTTTATCATTTCTTACAGACATCACGCATCAATGAACTAGAGAAATCATCAAAATCAGCAGGAAGGCAGCCAGATTGGAAAGAGATCATTCATCAGAGCCCATACTCTAACTCAGATCCTATTCTGGAGTACCACCACGAGCAGACAGTGCCTGTCTGGCAGCCCAGCTGCGGGGTCAGGCCACTGTGACACTCGGTGCCTCCTGTCAGGCTGCAAACCCAACCCCCCCTGGTCTGTGGCCAGTTCTCCTCCCAGAGCGGGCAGGCTGGGAGGTTCTGTGCTCAGAGGAGAGCTCCAGAGCCAGCCCCAGGGCTCCTTCCTTCCCCGCTCCGACCTCGCAGCTCCCGTCGCGTCCGCCGCGGATCTGGCGGCTGGCACTCACTTCACAGCCCTGCCCCAGCGCTGCACAAGCTGAGAGAAACAACAGAAGGAGGGAAACAAAGCAGCGCGGACAGCTGGGCTCGGCGTGAGCTCCATCCTCAAACCTGCTCGCTCAGGACAGACGGCAGCGCTGGAACCTGAGATTGTTCCTCCTCCAAGACTCAAAACACGCCTCGCAGTTGAAGGTTTTGCCTGTCAGTGGCTTTGGACAGCATTTGGTGCGTGCAGGAGAGAATGATTGCCTAGCTCGATCCTGGAACGCCAGTCTGGGAATTCAGAGCACTTTGTGCCCCCCCAGGAACACCCTGCTGACCAGGAAAGCACTTGCACTGGCTCCACAGAAAATGAGGCAGTGTCCCAAGGGCTTTCCTGAGTCAGGGCCTGAGGAGACGACAGGAAGAGCCAACACCAACCCCAAACCATGCAGGCAGGTCTCTTACTTCACCAGCATCCAGCCTGCTCTCTGTTTTTGGATCAGCTGCTGCTTCTTCCCTCACTTCATCCACCATCTTTTCTCCACAGGACACGGTGTCAGCAGTGGCAGCCAGGCTCCCCAGCTCATCTGCCTCGGCATCTTCCACAGCTGCAGGAGCAGCTCCAGGCTGCCCAGGACCACTGGGCACATCCATCCTTGCTGTGCTCCTTTCCCCCACAGACTGGGGCAGCTCCTCAGCTGCAGGGACGTCACCTTCCACCTCAACATCATCTTTGTCCAGTACCTCATCCCCAGCAAGTTCCCCACCAGAGTCCTCCTTGTTCTGGCCAGACAGGCTGCTGTCAGCATCTCCAGGAAGGATTTGAACTGGAGATGGAGGGCACGCAGCATCAGAATCCAAGGAAGACTCTTGCACTTCTTCGGCATGTCTTGATTTTAAAGATTCCTTCTAGGCAGCAAGTCAAACACAATTATAGCCACAACATTCTCTCTGGGGGGACGCAGGGGTCAGGAATAGCACAGGCTCTCCTACAGCAAGCAGCAAAAAAAAAAAAAATCACAAAGCTTTGGGTGACTTTGAGACCTGTTTGACTTCTTTTCACACAGTCCCATTCCAAAACAAGGGACCTCATTGAGATAACCTCATTCATTTCTTGGGCTCTCACTTAGGTTTTTTCATCTGTTGTTTTTTTATTCACAGGGTCTCAGTGGACAAGAGTGGGCAGCACCCAATGTGCTCCTCAGCAGACCCATTTATGCTTCCACATCAGATCTGTTCAGTAAGAGATGGGAATGAGTTAGAGACATTCCCATTAGAGACTGGCCATTCCCATTAGAGACTGGTCATTCTACTTCTGTCTCATGTTTTAAGCAGAGAACAGTAGGCAGGATCATCATCCCACCTTCCAGCAGTACAGACTTGAAGGTGGGCACTGACTGAAGCTCAGAACAAGCCTGTGACTAACACAGGAGGTTGAGAGATGGCAGAACCCACTGGCCTGGGGAGAAAAGCAACCCCAAATTAAAGCCTAGTCACCCAAAGGCTCCACTGCCTCTCCCAGCAGCAGGGACGCCACAACACCCACTGTGGAGAGCGGAATAGCCAGGAGGGAGCAGGAGAAGGTTCCCTCATCAGCATGCAAACAGCCCTGCTCGCACGTCCCACTTCCTCACTGTTTTATTAATGCCGCGGTGTCTCGTCAAACATCCCTCACCCCGCGCACGGCGCGTTCCCGACGCCCAGCGCATATTTTAACGGGGTATTTTTATCCCAGTGCCGCTGGAACGCCGGCAGCTCCAGGCCCAGAGCTGGGGCACGTTCCCTGGCGTGCCATTTGTCTGTGAGACCTTCTCCTTGGGGCCGGGGGAGCCATCCATCACGGCTGGAGAGGCCAGGGAAATCCAATCACCGGGCCCTTCCCAAAAAACCTGCAGTTCTGAGCCTCACCCGTAACTCCCTGTGCTGAGGGACAGCTCGTGGCCCCTGTGCAGAGCAGTGCCTGGCTGGCAGAGGTCCCCAGAGTCACCCTCCAGGCTCTGGGAAGGCCTTGGTGACATCAAAACCCAAAGAAAGGTGTGCAAGGGCCATTTCTTTAGGGCTGCTCCAGTGGAGGAGCTCTCATGGTGCTTCCTTTTATCTGGGGATTAGGGTGGCTGGAAAGGTAGGCTCCTCTTGGACAGACTTGCTTTAGAGTTCTCTTGAGGACACCCCACCAGGAGACCTGACAGCATCCAGGATATCCCACATGAGACCAAGCTGGATTTTGATGCTTGAAAAGTGCACAGGCACAACAGAACAGAGCAGTGTAGCACTAATACTGTGCACACAACAGGGTTTCTCTCCAGGCAAGTTCACTTCAGTTACTAAAATATCCCAGAATAATTTCTTTAGCTGGTAGAATCCTATTTTAAGAACAGTTATAGACAAAAACTTTTGTTAATGTTACACCTTGATGATCACAAATGCAACTCTCCAGAAGAGGGAACTGTGCCAGCCAGAGACACAGGTGGAAGAAGAGGAGGGAGGTTTTCCTCCTGCAACAGACTATGGATTTTCTATGGATTTCAGAGCTGGGACAAGTCAGTTGGGTCATAATTGGCTTTCACTGATCTTTTCACAAGCTGCAACATGTTTTACGTGCACTGAGTGGCACTAAAGGATGGGAAATTCCTGCCTATCAAACCATTACTCCCAGTGATTGTCATAAGTCTGGAGAAAAGCACATTGATACCAACAGGACCAGGTTTGGGAAAGACATGTGATCCAGAAGTGAACAGTCAGGATAAACAGCACCCACCAAAACTCCGTCCAACTCAACTCAGAAAGAAGGATGACCTGCCACCCTTGCACTTTACCATGCTGAACGTGAGAGTACAACAAATGTCACATTTTTTCTACCTTTAAAAGGAAAAATTGGGAAACAAACCTCATACTGCATGGAGAATAACTTTGAAGGGTGATGTGCTCCCTTCCTGCTCCCTGATTCCAGGCTGTTCTCAGGCACAGAGAGGGGGTTAGGAATGCCACAGCTCATATCTGGGCAGTGTTTGCCCTTGGATTTTACGTTTACACCTCTCTCCATGCACATAACACTTTAACCAGCAAAAGAAACAAGACAAGCAGCCACCAGATGCAACCACAACACTAGAAGCTGCCTACTGCATGCAAAAGCTCAGTGACACTGTGCAAGCAGGAGGGAGATGCCAGAGCCACCATCACCTCTGCCAGGCTGCCAGCATCCTCCACAGGACTCCCGGGGTGCTGGGGAGCAGCTCCAGGGGGATCAGCACCATCAGCCAACGGGCTGCTGGGGTTCTCCTGCTCTGCCTCGCTGTTCTCCTGAAGGAGGGGGTGACACAGCCACTTGCAGAAGTGCCCAAGCCACCTTTCCAAGCTGGGAGAGTCACACACTGTGACACTCTTCCCAGACCCTTCCCAGTTCCAGACTCCCTGTGAGCTGTATCTCCACACTCCCCCAGCACAGGGGACAGCAAGGCTACACACCCAGCAGCCATTCCTCCCCCCACACCAGTCAGCCCTGTGCTGGTATCCCAGGGATGTGTTTCCTGGGAAGCAGCAGCACTGCTTCCTGCACTACATCCCTGTGGGAACGCACCAGCTCTACTGCTCTATGTTCATGTGCAGAGGCAGCCCCCTTTCACCCTCCAGCTAGTAAAGAAGTCAGGAATGGTAATTTCCCAACACAAAGGACCCCCCTGATTCCCAGCATTTACCCAGAGACTGATGCCAAGGTGCCAGCACTGCCACAGGGATGTTTCTGCTGGCACAGGACTCTCCCCAGGCACCCAGAGGTGCTGCCAGACCTATTTCTCCTCTTGTCCCTTCCAGCACTATCCCCAAGCCCTTTTGTATTTTAGGGAAGAGTCTCCCATGCCTGCAGGGAGGACTCAGGGTGCCAGAAGGCAGGAAAGCAGGTCCAGGGGAGAGCTGACCCCACAGGCAGCCGAGCACACTGAGCTCTGGGAGAGACCCTCTTTCCAAGGGGACATTCAGACTACTGCACACACCTTACACCCCAAGTTCTCCAGCATCTGACCTGGGTTTCATTTTAAGTGCCTTTGCCCCAGTTAACCCATTCCTTGCTCCAGAAATGCCCACTGAGGGGGGAACATCCACCTCTCCTCCCTCTCTTCCCAGACACTCCCATGCTGCCTCCACTCACCCAACATCCCATCTCTGCAAGTCACTAAAACCACATATTTCCTTTGAATACAGACCCTCAACCCTGACCACGGGCTACACGAAGTCAGTTTTTTCATTAATTCACCCATTGCTGCCTAGACTTCCCCCCGTAGGACTTGCTACACAAACCCTTTGCTCTGTTTTGCGAGGAAGCTGGAGAGTGGCTCAGGAACAGTCTGAGCCTCGCTCCCAGGAATGCTTTTCTACTGCCATCTCATGGAACTACAACAGAATTCTATTTTCCAGTGGGGCACTGCTATCTTATCAGGACTAGGACATCACCCATCTGGGTTAACAGCCTGGCTGTTGGGCAGCAATTGCCATTCCATAATAGATTCCTGAAGCCCCATCCCCAGGGCACTGACATGCCAAGACAGCTCTTTGTTCCTGCACACATTAACATTTCAGTGAGGAACTGGGCCCCCACAGGCTGCTTGTTGTCTGGAGATGAGAGAGTCAGGGCTCTCTTTGTCACATCCACTTTAGCATAAGCCTTCACAGATCCTGCCCAGCACCTCGAATGGGTTCTCCAGCAAAGTACTTTACAGCTTAATTTTTGTGTGCTGTGAAAAGGATAAGGCAAATACTCTAAAACACTTTAAAAGAAATTAATTTGCCTTTCAGATACTGGAACAGGATTTTCAAAGCGGTGAGAAAGGATTAATGTCAGCACAAACAGTCAGGCCAAATCAGCAGAGCTGCTTACAACGCACTTCCCATTGTGCCCTTGTCATCTTAAGCCTGATCCCAGCTAAGGCAGAGCACAGGGAAAGCACAGTGTCTGCACAAGGCCCTGGGTGCACTGAATGCTCAGTGTCTCAGCCACGGGATTTATCCCCAGTGCAAGAAGAAAGAAAACAGGTTTTGTGTTGCCACAGAAGAGTGGCCACGTGCAGCCCACATTAAGGTCCTTGTGGGACCGAGGGACAGTGCAAGAGCATTCCCAGAGGACATTCCCTTCTCCTTTCTCCAATGCCACCATTGCAACTTCAGCTGAAAATGAGCCCTCTCCCTCCACTCACTGCCAAAAAAACACATGGAAGCAAAGTGTGCCTCTTCCTCCTCGAGCCTTCCTCCCACAGCCAGTGCAGTGGCACCTCTGACCCGAGACCCTCTTCCTGCTGCTCCCTGGAAGAGCAGGTCTCCACCTTGCCTGGTTCACCTACATGGCTTTAGTTTTCTCTCCTTTGGAGTGAAACAAAGTGCAAAGATGTCTCCTCAACTCCCAGCTACCAAACCACAACCATCCTCCTCCAAACACAAAACCTGCCTTCAGCACCCACCCCACTGCCCCCTGTGGGCCACTGTCTGCTTCTCACACACCCCCAGCCCCGAGGCTGTGCCTTCCTGTCCTTCAGCCTGCTCCAGGTCGTTCCTAAGTGACACAAGAATCTTGTCCCTCTGGCACCATTCCTGCACCCTCATTGCCTGGGTGCTGGCAGTGCCTCAGCTCCTCTCCCAGCAGGGCAGTTTCACCTGCCCATCCCATCACCCCTGGTCTTACCTCGAAGTCAAAGCTGCCTCCCAGGGCGTCCACATCCAAGTACAGGTTTTTTAACAGTCCTGATGTCCCACGGAAACTCTAAAAGCATTAAAAGAAGGAGACGGCCAAAACTGAGTCCTGCCCTCTGCAATCCCACGGGAAGAACTGAGGCTTCCTCAGCAGTGAAATAAGGCAGCAGAGCCATGGCAATACACCTACAGCCAGCTCATTTTGGAATTGCACCATGGTAGGTGTTGATTTGGGGGGATTACAATGTGAAAACAGGTTTTAGATGTTTTTTGGCCACCAAACAGCACAGGGAAAATGCAGCACAAATTAAAGCCAAGAGGCAAATGGAACAGCCACAGTCAAGCAGCCATTACCAGGGGAGCATCACGAGACTTCGTGCACTCTGGTTACTGTCACACACACTGAGAGCCAAGGCACACAAACTACCTCATTTTCACTGTCGTCCTCCTCGTTCCTCCATTTATCCAGAGCCGCCGTGTCCAAGGAAATCTTCTCGTCGTCACAGAGCAAGCCCAGCAGGTTCCTGGTGTGCCCAGTGGGCTTACAGATGTCTGCAAGCTGTGCAGGCCAGAAGAAAGGGAAGAGAGAGGACAGATGACAGGAAAGGGAAGATGGAAACCCACTGAGACCCTGGGCAGCTGCTGGAATCTGGGAAGGAGCTCAGGACTTCACTGCCACCCTTGTGCTGCCAGAGCCACATCCAGCTGGGAGAGATGTTCTTAATGAGGCCAAAGAGGCTCCTGTCCTAGGGGGGCACATCTGAAACCCTCCTGTGCCTCCAAACACTGATTCAGGTAAGACCACAATAAAATATTTGATATCACCAGTGACAAGACTTAACTCAGCGAGAAAACCTTTAGTGAAGGTGTTGATTTGTAGGTTTCCCACATATATTGCTTCACTTTCCATTAAAAGATCAATTTCCCACCACTTAACAGTTTGTTTATTTGTAAGGGTGATTATTTGTGTGTTTTGCACATATTTTGCTTTGCTTTCCTTTAAAAGATCAATTTCTTACCACTTAACAGGTTTGTTTATTTGTGAAGGTGATTATTTGTGTGTTTTGCACATATTTTGCTTTGCTTTCCTTTAAAAGATCAATTTCCCACCACTTAACAGGTTTGTTTATTTGTAAAGGTGATTATTTGTGTGTTTTGCACATACTTTGCTTTGCTTTCCTTTAAAAGATCAATTTCTTACCACTTAACAGGTTTGTTTCATTGACCCAAAGGTCAGTTTCTATAAATAATCATTTGACATGATTGTAAGTCTTACATTTATCAGGAAAACTGTTCTTTTAAAATTTTTTATTCTCAAATAGATGAGTGAAAGTATTGTTTATTAGACTGTATTATCTGTATTGTTCACCATGCTTCACTTGCCCACCAAAGTTCTGCTAAAACAAACTGAATAGATTTTGTTTCCCCCACAGTAATTGAAACAATTCCTTCTTTAAATCTGCTAAACACAGCAGAAGAAAGCTCAGCACTAATGTAGCACTGGGCCCCCTAGAAATAGAAGAAAAGAAATACTGCTGTTCTGCTAAAAAGCTGCCTTTCAAAGCCAGCAGAAGATCACAAATACTGTCCTTTAAGCTTCTAAGTGTCCCCACGCCCGTGAGCCTCTGCAGTGTGCCCTCCAGGGAAGAGGGAGCCTCACCTGAGTTCCTTCCCTGGCCATCAGGTCGGAGTCCACCACGCTGCCCACGGAGCCACGGAGGACGACGGGCTGAGCCGGAGCGAGGCCACGGAGAGGAGAGAGGGGCCCCAGGGGCAGCTGGATGGGGGCCAGGTGGGGGCCCAGGGGCTGGAATAGGAGAGGGGACTCGCTGACAGGAGAGCAAAGGTGTGCAGCTCCCTTTGGAAAGGGAGGAGGGGCTCCCCTGGGCAAGCCCAGCTGAAAACCTGCTTGGGGCCCCCACAGCCACCAGCACACGGGACAGGGGAGGAAACACACTTTGATTTACTCGAATATTTTGCCTTCCAAAGACCCATCTGAATGGGACCAGAATGCTCCTTTCTTTCAGAGGGCAGCAGGAGCCCTGGGAGCCATCCCACATCCTCACCTCTGAGCAATGCATGCTCACACCCCAAGTTATCATCACCCAGAAATGTGACCATCCTGTTGGACAGCATGGAATTCCCCATCCCAGGAGTCTCACCCAGCACAGGTTAAACCAGAAGCACATGTATGCCAGGGTTTTACTTGTGGCACTCCAGGGTTTTCCCTGTGGCACAGCACTACAACCAAGGGCTGGTGCTTCAGCAGAGCACGTGTGTTTTCAGAAACCAGAGTCCCTGTGCCTACACAGGATTCCAGACTGAAATCAGAGTTAATTCACTGATGGATGGGGACAGGGGGATGTCATCACCACAGCAATGGTAACAGAATAAATCACACTCTGGGCTTAAACTAATTATTTTCTACAGATGGCCACTAACCACACGTACAGAACAAAGAATGTTCACTGTCCTTCAGCAGAGACAAATGTGCTTCCATCAGGTTAATTAAAACTTTTGGGATAATCTACAGTTTATCTGTTATTTATAGTTCTTATCAGCTGCCTGAGAACTACCACACTGGTAATGAGAAACCTGAACTGGCAACTCAGTGGAGCCACAGCTGGGCACCAGCAGAGCACAGCAATCCATTAATGCTACACACAGTGACCTTTCAGTTCATTTTTGTCTTCAGAACAAGAGATTCGGTAAGTTCTTATTAAATTGAGGCCATTACTTATGGACAAAGACAAAACAACCTGGAATGTCCTCCCCAGGTGAAGGCAGGATCTGTGATAGGCAACAGAGGGAAAATTTTGGGCAAAACTGAGCAAAATGGTTGAGCTATTCCCAGAGGAAGGAGAAAATTACAATTACAGATGGGTTCCATCACACCTGTAAGTCGCTTCAGTGTCCTAAGACACAGGTACAGCCACCCAGCTGTGCTCAGACCTGCAAAGCCACGGGCCAGTAACCACTGGGAATGCTCCTCCTCCCGTGTGGAAGAGGCAGTTCAAACTTTCTCCCATTTTTCTTCCATTTAAGAGGGAATAGAGTCCACTTCTCAAGGTGCTGGCCACGGATGAAGGAGAGCTGACTGCAACTTGTGGTTTCTTATATCACCTTAACCAACCCACCCTGGGACTCGAGATTCAGCAATCAAAACTAAGCTGCAGAGAGCTGAATAAGCCATTCCCCCTCAGTTTAGACTGCGGGACCTCCAGGGAAAAGACCAACTTCACAGTGTGCTTACTACAAAGAGCCTTATAGCCCAAATTAAAGGTGATTTTGTATTCAGTGTTGCCAACTCACTTGATTTACTGCCCATCACCTGGGTTTGAGTTCAGAAAGCCCTTTGTGTCCCCTCTGCCCAGCCCTCCCCAGAAGCACCACAAGCAGAGTCTACTCACAGGGGTTTGCTTCAGCGACTGCTTCTCCTTCTTGTCCTTCTTCTCCTTCTTCTCTTTCTTTTCTTTCTTCTGCTTCTTCTCTTTCTTCTCCTTCCTCAGGCTGCCCTGTGCCAGCAGCTTCTCCCTCTCCCGGATCACCAGCTCCCTGTACTGCTCATCACAGGGGTGCTCCCACATGGACTGGCCCGTTGCAAAGTTGAAGTAATACACATCACCAGTGGTGTCTTGGCTGCACGGCAAAAACCAGCGTGAAAAGATGGAAGAGCACATAAAAACACAGCTGCACAGGCCAGAACATCCTTGCTGGGTGGCCCGACCACCTGGAGCTCAGGGAAGAGGAGCATGAAGCCTCCAAGAGGCCAAGAATACATCAGTGTGGGGAAGCAGCCCCTCCTAGGATGCTCATGACCTTATCAAGCTTTCCCAACAGTTTTCCCCCCCTTCTTCTGCCACCCCAAAAAGCCCTGAGCTCCCTCAGCCACAGGAAGTAAAATACTGTGGTAAAATATCTCTCCTCCTCACCACCAGAATGCTGGGGCAGCACACAGAGAGGAAGGACAGGAAACACCAGGAATCATAGACTGGTTTGGGTTGGAAAGGACCTTAAACATCCTCCCTCCTGCCATGGGCAGGGACACCTTCCACTACACCAGGTTGCTCAGAACTCCACCAAACCTGGCCTTGGACACTTCCAGGGATGGGGCAGCCACAGCTGCTTCCCCGTGCCAGGGCCTCCCCACCCTCACAGGGAAGAATTTTTCCCTGATATCCAACCTAAACTCCTCTCTGTCAGTTTGAAGCCATTCCCCCTTGTCCTGTGACTGGGAACCACCCAGGACAGCTGCAGCCAGAGTCTCACCAGGGCTTCCAGTCAGGGGGTAACGGGGCCACCAGGCACTCCCTGGCCAGCCACAGCAGCTCTGACTCCTTCTCGGGGTCAATCCCGATTATCGGTGCAAAGTTCCGGATTTCTAGGAAAACACGAGAGGAATCTGTGAAGACAGTCTACACCAGCCACTACACAGAAGAGCCACCCTCCCAGCTATAGCAGGGAGCACACTGGAAAATCCAAAACAAAGCTGCTCAAAGCCACCAGCACAGTCCCGTGTGTCCATAGCAAACAAAGAACTCATTTTTCAGCCCTGTCTTCTGCGAAATTCCACGTATTTTACCCTCTCCACCCACACCCTCCCCAGTTCCCGCTCTCTGAATACACCTAGAAGTGACCTGTGTGCCTGAATCCCTTCTCCCAGCTCCCAGGAGGACAGGCAGCACTCACCTTGCTCATCAGGAACGTAGGAATCGTTGTAGTCTTCTTCCAGAATGAGCTGGTTCCCGATGCGCAGGGCCCCTGCCACGAGTCCCCTCTCCATGGCTCCCACACCTGGGGGCGAGAAGGAAGCAACACAAAGTCACAGCTGCCCTCAGAAATGAAGGTTCCCTGTCCCCCAGCACATGGCAGAGCCCTTCCATCTGCAGCACACGCAGCAAAACCAAATCAAAGAGCTTCCACACACACTTCCAGGGGCTGCAGAAACAAGGAGCAGAGCTGAAGCAGCACAAAGTTATAATCAGATCCCCCAGGCCTCCGAGTTTCTACAGAGGAGATGAACATTTGCTTCAGGCACTTTTTAAGCAGGTAAAAAAAAAAATAAGCTGAAAAGAGAAAGGGAAGGAAGAGAAAGCAAGCAGCTTTCCCAGAGCTCAGCTTTGAGAGAAGTCTCAGGGCTGGATCAGCACTGCCCAGGGACAAGGCAGCTTCTCCCTACTTACCTTCACCTCTCCCACCTTCTCAGAGAACACTCCAGAAGCTGCAAAAGGGTCCTAATTTAACACATCCCACCTGTAGCCCATTGCTTCGTTATTTAACTCGTAGACCACAGCACAGCTGGGCCCTTGCAACCCATCCAGCACAGGTTTAGGCACTTAGACTTTAATTGCCTCACCCCAAACATCCCCAACTGTGGCTCTGCATGGCCACCTTTGGTCAGCACGAGCCTCCCACCACTGTGTGTGGGGCCAGATGCCAGTGCCAGCACAGAGGGGACTGTGACCTGCTGCTCAAATACAAGGTCAAACCTTTCAGCCTAAAAACCCCCAAGTACTCAGTGCACAAAGCATTCCTCTGCTATACTCATGAGACCCAGGGGGTTGCAGTACCTGCCAGGGGTCTGGGCAGCGTTAACACCCCAGTGATGACTGCCCAGAGCAGGATCACCACCCACTGCCTGTAACCAGCCAGTCGCTGCCCTCTTCACCTCCCTCTGTCCTCAGCCCACTCCGTATTTATAACTCTTATGTAAAACAAGTCTCAGAAGCAGCAACTAATCCTGGCAGTTTCCAGGCAAAGATATCCTCGGGACACGCCAAAGCAAAACAGCATCACGGGGCTCACACACCCACCCCCCACCCTGCAAACGTCCCCAGTTAGAGCATTTGGATGTGAGCAACTCACTCAGGGCCTTCTGTTCGCGTTTTCCTGTCCCAGCTCTAACTCAGCCCCATTTTCCATCCCCGGAGTTAGCGCTGGATGGCTCACTCTTCTCTTGGAGACGCTGCCTCGGCGCACCCGGGGAGAACTTACCGTGGCCTTTCAGTGCTTGAGGGGCACCTATAACAGAGGGGGACAAGGGGGAACAGTTTTAAACTAAAAGAGGAGGGATTTAAATGAGATATTAGGAGGAATTCTCCCCTGTGAGACTAGCGAAGCCCGGGCACAGGTTGCCCAGAGAAGCTGTGGCTGCCCCATCCCTAGAAGTGCCCAAGGCCAGGTTGGACGGGGCTTGGAGCAACCTGGGATAGCGGAAAGTGCCCATAACCACGGCAGGGGGGTGAAACTGGATGAGCGGATCCCTTCCAAGCCACAAAACCGTTCCCTGGTTCTATGCAAAGCGAAATTCAAAGCCAGTGCAGCCCGTGCAGCCTGGAGCCACGGGAGACGCGCAGCTGGCGAGGAGGAGAAACAGCTTTGACTAATAAAACATAAAATAAAAGCAAAGAGAAAGCCCTTTTCGCCCAAGTCTCGACAGCGTACACGCGACCGCCGGGAGCCGGCAGACCCCACGTGCGGCGGGAGGGTAGGACCACTCCCCGCAGCCTCCCTTCCCCGAGGGAAGCCTCCCCTGGGGCCGGGACCCCCCGGGCCCGGTCCCCCCGTCCCCGCTCACCGTAGCCCCGGGCCCGGACCCGCTCCGGGGCCGCCGCCGTTGCCGGGAGCGCGGGAGCAGCCGCGGCCGCTGAACCGGACCCCGCCCCCCGCGCGCGATTGGCCGCTGGGGGGATGCTCGGCACCGGATTGGCCGGCGGGGAGGAGGGACACATGACGTCACCGAGGCTGGGCCGCCGGAGGGGAGCTGCGGTTGCCATGGCGACGCGTGGGTACCGCCCGCGGCGCGTCCCGGCGGGACCGGGACCGGGACCGGGACCAGGGAGCGGGACGGGCACGGGGAGAGGGGCCGGGAGAGGGACGGCGGCAGCGGGGAGGGCCGGGGCGGGTCTCCCCGGCAGCGCTTCCGCCGGCGGGCGGGCTTTCCGGGGCGGGTCTGGCCGCGCCGCCATGCCCGCCGCCGCCGCGCCGCCCGCCCGCCCCGGCGCGGCCGCCCCGCCGAGGCGCGGGGCGCTGCGGGCCCGCTGACCGCGTCCCCCCGAGGGGCTCCCCCGCGGCCATGGCGCCCGCCTGGCCCTGGCTGCTGCTGCTGCTGTGGCTGGGGGTCGTGCGCGCCCTCCCGGCCCCGCCGCGCATCCGGCTGCCGCTGCGGGGCGGAGCGGCCCCGCCGTCGGGGCTCCGGCAGCGCCGGGCGCCGCTGGACGCCGAGCCCGAGCGCGCCGGCAGCTTCGTGGAGATGATCGACAACCTGCGGGGCAAGTCCGGGCAGGGGTACTACGTGGAGATGACGGTGGGCAGCCCCCCGCAGAAGGTGAGGTGGGAGGGGATGGATCCCCCGCATCTCCCGCATCCCCCGCATCTCCCGCATCCCTCTGCATTCCCCGCGCCCCGGGGGGCTGCGAGTTCCCCTCCGGGGTCGCAGAGCAGAGGCTCTGCGGGTGCCACCATGGCTGCGCGGCTCTCGCTGCACAGCCCGCGCTTCCCGTCGCTCCTCATCGCTCGGGTGATGCTTTTCCTGCTGCCTTTCGGTGAACACTGGCCGCAGGCGCCCGCCGAAGGTCACCCCAGCACTCCCGGGCTGCCCGGGCGCTCCGGGGGGAGGCAGCGGGTGCTGCGGGTGCTTCTGCGTGCGGGGCTGCATCCCTCCATCCATCCCTTCCCCCTTCCATCCCTCCCTCCCTTCTTCCATCCATCCCCTCTCCCGAGCCAAAGCTTGCTGCCACTCAGGCAGTCGCCGTGTGTGGGCTGCGAGGGATGTGGCTGCAACAGCCCCGCGCCCGCCTGGAGCGGGCACAGCCAGGCGCGAAGAATCCACGGCCAAGCCGTGCTTGGCACGTTCCTCCCGGCGCAGCCCCTGGCGCAGCTGCTGCCCGGGTCCGTGTGCCGCTCCCGACCCGGGCAAATTCTCCAGAAATCCTCCGGAGCTTTGTTTTCCCGGGGATCTCGTGCAGGCTGTCGCTGCACAGGAGTTGGGGCAGCATGGGGAGGCAAGGGGTAGGAAAATGGGGTGGCCTGGCTGGAAAGGGAGCTGGTGCATCACCAGCTTCTGCTCCTTCTCCATCTTTCTGTCAGCATCCCTCACGTCCTGGAGCTGCACTGCCCAGCTCACGTTGTGGCACCGTGTGCCTTTGTGCTGGGGACAGGATGGGTGCTGATGGCCAGGTCACACAGCACGGGGAGAGCAGCTCCTCCCTGCTTTTATGGGTGACATCGTGGAGGCTCCTGCTGCCAAATCCCTTTGTGCCCCTACTGATCCCCACTGCTACCAGCAGCAAGTCTGGCTCAGGGAGCGGGCCAGCCCAGCACTCGAGGCTCTGCACTCCTCCCAGCACGGGGCCACGTTCCCTTGTGCCTGCCACCGCCACTTTTTGGGTGCTGCCAAAACACCCAGTGCGTACACAGGCTCTGAAATAAAGACTGGCTTTTCCCCACGAGCTGGCTGTGCCCTGTGTGTGTGGTGGGGGAGAGCCATGTGAGCGAGACGTGAGCCGTGGACAGGAGAGTAATGCCACCACCACGAAAATCGGATCTCTGGGAGCGGTGTCATGTTGTCCCTGTGTGCCTGGGATTTATTCTCTGCTCTGGCAGGGTGCATTTAGGGGGAAAAAAAGGGAGGAGATTATTTCTGAAATCTAGTTTTAAATGTGATTTCATCATCTCCTGCCTGCCACGTGTCGCAGCTGCCAGATAATTTCCGTGCTAACCACCTGTTCCCAGGCACTCGTGCATTCCAGAGCCAGTCGCCCTTTTGGGCAGCATCTTCCAGCCTTGGATTGCTTCCAAATGTATGTGTGTGTGTGTGTGTGTGTGTGTGTGTGTGTGTGCTGGAGCAAAATCCCTCCAGGCGTTGCAACGGAATTAAAAGATTCATATGAAAGAGTTTGGCTGTGCCTTCGCAGGAAATCAGGGGCATATTTGTCCCGAGGGGTGCGTGCATCCTTCCCAAAGGGTCACATACAGCAGGGAGATGGTGATCCATCTCCTCAGCTTTCCTTTCACCTTCCTGGTGCTGACAAGGGAGTTTCTGTATCCTCTTGTGCTTTAATTTTGGTTCTGAGCTGTGCTGCACTGCCAAGTCACCGTCAGCAGCCGATTGCTCACACGCTCCATGTGCCCAAGCATGTTGGTTTCCCTGGCTCCCCAGGATGGGCTGATTCATAAACACAGAGGGAAGAGGGGTGAGACAAGCATGGAGAGCTGGTGTTTTGGGACAGATGGCACAGGCTTAGTACCCAGGAGCGGCACTGAGCACTAGGACACGCGTGGCACAGAGCCAGTGCTGCTGCTGAGGTGCCCGGAGGGGCTGTCACTTCCAGGGACAGGTTTCAGACAGCATCCCTGTCACACATGTCCTGGCCTCACCAGTTCACGTGCTGTGTCCTGGCCCGAATGGATGGCTGGGCTGAGTCTCAAGGATCCGGGTCCTCTCCACGTGGGTCCTGTGCGTGACCCTGTCAGCAGGATGGAGCCTGCGAGAGCAAAACCCCTTCCTCGCTTCCTTCTCTCCCTGTAGCATCAGCTCAGCAGGTCTTTCTCCAGGGAAACCTGTCTCCTCTGGGTGCCCTGGGGATGGGAGATGAGCTCTGTGGAGCGGGTGGCCCCTGGTGACCCACCCACAGAACTGGGAATAGCCCTGGGAGCAGGCGCAGGTGCCGGTTGCCAGGGGAAGGTCGGGCTGTGCAGCAGGTGCTGAGCTGGCACTCACCCAGGGTGGATATTGGAGGGGCAAATGTGCTGCTCTGATCTTTACCCATGGCCTGAAACGTTCCCCATGGCAGGAAGCTGGCCAGGGGAGGCCGTCCCCCAGTGCAAGGCAGCAGGGCTGGGGCACAGGGCACCCAGGACATGGCAGCCCCTGTCAGGTGGCCGTGGAGAACACTCAGCAGCTGCAGCCCAGCACTCCTGCGATTAGCACAAGCGCATTAACCTCCTTCTCTGCCCTCTGACTCCACAGATTAAGGGCCCAAGCCCTGGCAGTGCTGGCTGGGGTGGTGCTGTGAAGCAGCCCCCGGGGCTGGGGTCAGGGCTCACCCCAGGCACTGCTGCCCTGCAGGGCTTGGAGCCCCATTCCCACCCCAGCAATCCTGCTCCAGCAATCCCACTCCAGCAATCCTGCCCTGGCAATTCCACCCTGGCAGTCCCACCCCGCTCCCCGCAGGGGCCACAGGCAGGGGTCAGCTGGGGGCAGGATCCAGCTGGCCTGCTCCCGGCCCTGCCGGTGGGATGTTTGCCAAACCTGGTAATCCCGCACAGGCAGGAATGAATCGGGAGCAGGGCTCGGCATATGGGTGGTGATTAGCGGGCGCAGCGATCCTTCCCACCAGCTCTGCCAGCAAATCAGCTTTCCTGGCAAGGGGAGCCTATGCATCCTGTCTTGCTGCTGCTCTTCAGACCCATGACACCTGCCAGGTGCTTCCCAAATCCCATGGTCTGGGGGGCTGAGGCCAGGCCGTGCTGAGCAAGGAGCTCTTGCTCTGTTTTCATGGTGCCGGACAGTGTTTGCTTGTTGTCTAACGCCCTGATGTCGCTGCCTCCTGCTCCACCACCTTCTTCTCTCCTCTCTGGGCACAACAAAAGAGGGTCCCACTGCACTCACGCACCTCCCTGTCTCTCTTCCCCAGCTGAACATCCTGGTGGACACAGGGAGCAGTAACTTTGCTGTGGGAGCTGCACCACACCCCTTCCTCCGGAGATACTACCAGCGGCAGCTGTGAGTATGTGGGGAGACACAGAGCAGAGCCACTGTCCCAGCCCCACAGTGGCACACTGCCCCTTCTTGCTGGGGGTCTGGCCAGACCCTGCCGAGTACCAACTGGCTTCTGGAATAGCAGGATCCACACGGCCCCTTCCAGTCTTACTTGTCCCTTTGATGCCTTTGCAGGTCCAGCACCTACCGCGACCTGCGGAAGGGGGTGTATGTGCCCTACACCCAGGGCAAGTGGGAAGGGGAACTGGGCACTGACCTGGTCACCATCCCCCACGGCCCCAACGTCACCGTCAGAGCCAACATCGCTGCCATCACGGAGTCAGACAAATTCTTCATCAATGGCTCCAACTGGGAAGGGATCCTGGGGCTGGCGTACGCCGAGATTGCCCGGGTGAGTCCTGGCTGGCAGCAGCCTGGCCCTGCCAGCAGATGGGAGCACGAGCAGGCTTCAGCTGCCTCTTCCCTCGGCTCTGTTTGTCCCCTGGGGCACAGCAGTCCCAGTGAGGGGAGCTCCCCTGGGCACGGAGAGCCCCCGGAGAAGGGACAGCACTGACGCATCCCTGACCTGCCTCTGCTTTCTCCTCCCACCAGCCTGACGACAGCCTGGAGCCCTTCTTTGACTCCCTGGTGAAGCAGACACGGGTGCCCAACATCTTCTCCCTGCAGCTGTGTGGGACAGGCTTCTCACCCAACGAGACAGAGGCCGTGGCCTCGGTGGGAGGCAGCATGGTGAGGGCTCTGCAGGCAGGGGGAGGCTGCCAGGGGCTCCCACGGGGCTCTGGTGGCGCGTGGTGGCAGCGCCTTTGTGTCTCCGCTGCAGATCATCGGTGGCATCGACCGCTCGCTGTACGTGGGGGACATCTGGTACACCCCCATCCGCAAGGAGTGGTACTACGAGGTCATCATTGTCAAGCTGGAGGTCAACGGTCAGGACCTGAACATGGAC